TGCAGTGAACATAACGGTGCATATGTCTTTTCAAATTACTGTTTTGGGTTTCTTCAGATAAATACCCAGAAATAGAATTCCTGGGTCATAAGGTAGTTCTGTTTTTAATTTTTTGAGGAACTTTCAAACTGCTTTTCTTAGTGGCTGTACCAATTTGAAATCCCACCAACAGTGCACGAGGGTTCTCTTTTCTCCATATCCTCACCAACACTTGTTTGTTGATTTATTGCTGATAACTATTCTGACAGGTGTAAATGTAGTATTTTTAAAAGTCTCAATAGTATAGAAAATGAAATCAGACATAGTTGTAGATTTTTCCTAGTCACAGTTATTTATTAATTTAACTGATCGTGGTTGTTAATCCATTTAAAAATATGTTTCAAGCTTCAACAGTGCCGATCTTTTAAAAAATGAGCCTTTTTTTGGTGTGGGGGGTGTTCATTGGAGATTTAAATAAAATATGTCATAACATTGAAAGAAATTAAGTTTAAAATATTTGGGAGAGAAGAAAAAGTACAAATTTTGATTTGTTAAATCTGAAGTGAAAAAATGCAAGTAAGTACTTATGAGATGACTGAAGACACATTGTTCACACTGTAGTCACTAGATTAAACTTTGGAGCTGAAAGTAAATTTAGAGATACAGTTAGAAAGTAGATCCAGAAAGGTCAAGCAGTTTGTCTGTAATCATATGACTACCTATAAGCAGATGTGTTAATATCGACCGATTCCCAATCTGTTGCTCTGTGAATGATTATTTATGTGTCTCTAGTGGGGTCACTCACTAAATACCTTCAAGGATTAGGGAAGTGAAGTAAATTTATTTAATATTCAACAGATATTTATTTAATCACTGATATTACTTTAGTATATCAGGCCCTGTCCCAGGTGCTGAAGACACATCATGGTCAGGACAGATGAGACTGCTCTCACAAAGGTTATTTTTTAAAAGAGGAGAAATAATAAGGTTAATGGATAATTAACTAAATTTGAGTGATGGTAAGTTCGGTGAAGAAAATAAATCAGAGTGATGTGCTGAACAGTGATAGGGTGGTGGTGCATACTGAAGAGTTGACACTTGACCTTCGTGAGACCTGAAAACATGAAGGAAATTCTGCATAAATGTGGAGATAGAGCATTATATCTGGCACATAATAGGCACTGAATAAATCTTATTTGGGTTCAAAAATATACCAAATTTATTCATACATACTTGCTGTTTGTGACTTCTGGTTAAACATGATGGATTTACTACATATATTGATTTTTCTCATTAAAATGTGAAAAAGGGGAATTAACTCAGATAAGAGAGAATGGGAGATTATTCAACAGTGGTTGTCAGTAAGCAAATAAAGGAGTGGCGATGGACTTAAAAGTTTAGAAATATTCTCAGCACTTGGAAACACCAAATACTCTAAAAGACAGGCATAAGGCTCGGGCATAAAAATGGAGATTTGTTGAAAATCTATGTATATTTGAATATTTGAACCTTCCCAGGTCACTTTCTCTACAGGAGTTGGGAAATTTATGCTCTGAAAAAAAAATTGACCATGGCAGTTCTACTCAGGAGCAGAGCAGACAAAAGAATCCAGGGATGAGGCATGACACTGCAAATGAAAATTGAGTAAGATCTACCCACTAAACTGTGGAACCCTTACCTCCTGTCTGTCATGCTGCCAGATAAATCCTCTACACTCTCCTCTAACCACTCCAAGATAGGAGAATGGAGAGTTTTTCTCTGAAGAAAATGAAAGGCCTGAGAGGAAAGATGTCTATTGATCTTGGGGACATGTTCAGAAAACTGAAACAGGATGTTATGAAAAAAACACAATCATGTAACATGAAAGAACTCTTAGATGTTGAAGACATGGAAAATTTCAACAGAATGGAAGATAAAGGGGAGAAGATCAGAAAGTGGAATGAAAGTACAGTAAGGTGGAAATTAGGAGAGAGAAGAAAATTAGATAACCAATATACATGATCCAATGTCTTACTAAAAGGAGTTCCAGAAAGAAAACAGAAGATGAGGAGGATACTATTAAAGAAATAGTGTAAGCAGACTTTCCCACAGCTGAGACCAAAGTATCAATTAAGTATGAAGTTGGAATGACAATTTGCAGACATTTCTGTATTTAAGAAATTCACCTCCCATTTACCCTTTAATAAGAAGTTATTGGGGGCTACTCTTTATCAAAATGAGGGAAAAACAAAAGATGGCATAGCCAGAAAACAGGTTCCAACACAAGAAAAAGTCAGTGGAAAAACTATAAAACAGTGGTGGTGCATCCAGCTAACCAGGCCAGGTTAGAGCAGCAGAATGGAAGGATGTGGGAAAATAATGACTAAAATCATTTGGTGTGTTTGAAAATTTAGAAAAATTGTATGTGACTGACAGTTTTTGGAGCATTTGGAAGAAGTGGCATGTACAAAGCAAAACAAGAAATGGAAAAAAAACCCTCTTCTGTATGTGCCCCCTTCTCCCATTTTGATCTGTTAAAATCTTAACCACCCTTCAAGGCTCTACTAAAATACCTTTTCCTTCAAGAAGACATTTTGATGTCACTTATTAGAATGGCCCTTTCCTTTTGCTGAGCAACCGTAATATGTAATTATTTTAAAATGTATTTGGAATCATTGTAGGTAATTCCCCAACATTATCTTTACCACAGAAAATTAAACTAAACCAGTTATGACAATGCCATTACTCTCACCACTGATTGATTTATAAATAGGCAAGCAGCTCAATCGTGGCCAAAGAGATCTGAAAGGAAATATATTCTGATGGGAGGCTTCTGAGAAAGTTTTCCTTGCTCCTAAGAGTCACAGGAGGAAATGAGCTCTTGCTTGTGTTGGATATTGTTTTGTCTTAACCTGGAATTGTGAAGCCATCTTTGACCACAAGCGGAATCAGCTTCAGGGAGTGAGGATGGCAGATTAGTGATAAGAATCTTGATCCTTGACATCATTGTTCAGGCACCAGTTATATCATACCAGGAGTCTGTCCAACCTCTGCACTTCCATAATGTAAAATAATAAATGCCCTTCTTGTTTAAGCTAGTTTCAGTCAGATTTTATATGATCTGCTGCCAAAAGAATTCTAATTCCATATACTTCTGTATGCATATCTATTATACCTGCTTATATCTATATATGTTTACCAGTAGTTATTAGGTATTCAAGACAACTCTTACATTAGATAACCTCAAAGGGCAAGATCATGACCTATTTGAAATTTTTTTTTTTGCTTTGTTTGGCTAACTTTTTATTTTAACCAAAATAATATTTGCGTTTTGGTTAAAAGATAATCAGGGCTGATAAGCACACATTGAAAAACAGCAATCACCTGGCCTACCTATATTTCCCCATTCCCACATCCCAGAGTCAGCTATGTTCAATTACTTTGGCTATTTCTTCTGATATTTACCTTTATATATCTAAATACAGTTAACATTTGAACAATGCAAGGGTTAGGGTGCTGACCCCTATGCAGTCAAAAATTTGCATGTAACTTTTGACTCCCCCAAAACTTAACTACAGTTATTCTTTGGTATCTGCAGGGGATTCGTTCCAGGACCCCCTAAAGATACCAAAATTTGCTTACGTTCAAGTCCCCTATATAAAATAATATAGATCATGTATGCAGTTGGCCCTCCTCATCCAAGATCTCCCAACTGAGGGTTGAAAATAGTATGGGTATTTACTGAAAAAAATGAGTATAAGTAGACCTGCGCAGTTCAAACTCGTGTTTTTCAAGGGTCAACTGTCACGTAATTCTTTTTCTTGATGTATACATTTTTACTGTATTTTTATATCCTGTTATAGTAATTTAGTTCACTTACATCACTCACAATCACCACCATGTTCCCTCCTTCCTCAATCTTTCCAGTATACTTGTAGCACAAGTTTTGGTTGACTCAATGGTCAGTTTACATCAGTGGTTCTCAAAAGTGTTAGAAGATCCTTTCCGGGGGTCTGCGAGGTTAAAAATACTTTCGTAGTAATATAATGATGTTATTTGCCTTCTTCATTTTCATTTCTCACTAGAGTACAGAGTTTTCCATAAAGTACACGATATGATATTGCATCACACTGAATGCAGAAGCAGGTGTGAGAATCCAGTTTTCTCCTTTTAAGCCAGATATAAAGGAAATTTACAAATAGAAAACTGCGATTTTTATTGCTAAATTTTTTTTGTTTGGGAAAATATTTTCATAAAAATGTTATTTAATGTTAAGATTTCATGGATTTGTTATTTTTTGAATTAATAAGTATTTTTACATTTTTTCCGTTTTAATTTTATAAGCTCTGGTTTGTACCAATGTCAGATATGCAGTTTTTATATTGTACTATTTTTGTACAAGATGTTAAGATTGGGAGAGGCTAAGTGAATGGTGGGTAGGAATCCTACTCACCATTTACAACTACTTGTGAATGGATAATTATTAAAATGAAAATTTGAAAAGCAGCTTAACTCATACATTTTCTGAGTTGAGAAAGGTATTTAAATGCCTTGATTTTTAATAAAAGGCAGTTACCCCAGTCTTCCTCTTCTAACTTTGTTGGGTTTAAAGATTGCATTGCTATTAGTATTCACATCATCCTTATAAAGTACTTTATGTCAAGGCAAAGTTTAGGAAGCACAATGTTTATATCAGCCTTGGTATGAAACAATTATTAGTGCAGGGCCAAGACTTGCCTGAAATATTAGGAACCCAGCCTTTAGGAGACAGGTATTAGGGGTAGAAAATTTAGTTCTTGAGGGTACTAAGGTAACAGAAAAAGCCTCAGCCACAGAGAAACAGCATAGGTCACTATTGCTAAGTGTTTTGTATTATCAAAATCAGAATAGGAACAATGACAAAATTGTTACTCAGTCTTAAACCTAGAATATTATGGGATACAGGTTATATTTTTATGGCAACCATGCTTTTATTTGAAAAATGATAAATGATTTTTTTTTACAGTTAAAACCTTTTTATGTTACAGGCAATAAATGTTAATATGGAGAACGATTTTAGGACTGAGTCATCATCATCCACCTTTGCTCTTCAAAGTTCTTCAGAGACATTGTTTTCTATTCAGCTGTTAGATTTCAAAACAAGTTTACTAGAAGCATTAGAAGAATTACGTATGAGAAGGGTAAGTGCCTTTTTCAGATACTTTTTTAATCAGAGAACTTCATTTGTCCAGTTTTTTGGTTTAAGAAAAAAAAGGCCTTGCAAAATAAACTTTATTTAGAAAGAAGAAATACAGTCCAAATAATGAAGCAAAAGAGAAAAGGTTAGATTTAGTTGACATCAGAGAATGAGAAAGAATTTATAAGCTAAAGCAAAAACACAAGAGACAATTTCAGATTGTTAAATACTTGATAAATCAGCTAACATTTATTGTAAATAAATATGAGAGAAAAGAGACTTGAAACATTTTTATTATATGAACCTTGTTTTAGGACTTAAAAATATTGAAATTTATCATAATAAGAAAATTTAATTACTGCAGTGTTCCTGTATAAAGCTACTTATTATCAAAATAAGTCTTTAATAAGAAATCCTGCTAAAAAAAGGATCTCTTGGATAAGCATTAAAAAGAACTATTTTTATAAAATTAGCTTAAAATGGTATTTTTTTCTAAGTAAAGCAACTTTAGGTAGCTATTTAAGACTTTATATTCTGTTTTATTATGTTTCAAACATATTTTGGTCTGCTTTATTTTCAGTTTGAAAAATACGCTTCCTTTAAAAATCATTTTAAAAATTTCAGAGTAGCAACAGCAAAAGTGTTTTTAGTAACCAAATGCAATATATACTACTTTTAGCAACATTCCTCACTGAAAGGAGAACTTTATTCTAAAAAAGGGGCAAGTTTTTCTTTTATTGAAAAAAAAAATAGTTACTGATTTTCACACCATAATGGCAACACTTTATCATTCTTGTTGGATTTTAATTTTTCCCCATATTTTATTAAGAAAAATTCCAAAAATACATAATAGTTAAAAAGAATTTCAGAATGAACTCTCACATACCCACTAAGGTAGGGAGAGTAATGGCATCCCAATGATGTTTACATCCTGATCCTCAGAACCTGTGAATAGGTTATCTTACATCAAAAAGGGGATTTGCAGATGTGATAAAGTTACAAGTTTTGAAATGGAGGGATTATGCTGGATTGATTATTCAGGTGGGCTCAGTGTATTCACAGCAGTTCTTATAAGAGGAAGGAAGGATTATCAGAATTAGAGAAAAAGATATGATGACAAAATTAGGGGGCATGGTCAGAGAGAGAGTTGAATACATTATGCTGCTGGCTCTGATCATGGAGGAAAGAAGCCAGAGTCAAAAAATGCAAGAAGCTGGAAGAGGTAAGGAATTCTCCCTTAGAGACTTTAGAAGGTATGTGGCCCAGCCAACGCCTTGATCTTAGCCCAGTAAAGAACATTTCAGATTTTTGACCTCCAGAACTTGAGTTGTGTAAAGGCAATAAATTTGTTGTAATTCGTTATAGCAACATTGGAACTCCAATACACCCACCATCCAGATTCTGTGCTTCATCTCATATCTATCCTTGGTCTTTTTTTTTTTTGATGAATTTCCATGTAAGATTGAAATTAGCATACTTCAGTATGCATATCATTAACTAGAGTTCAATATTTCTTTGTGTATTTTTTAATGTAAAATACAATGAGATGGTATAGTTCTGAAATGCACTATTTCATGAGCTTTAACGAATGCATACAGCTGTGTAATCCAAACCCTTGTCAAGATAGAGAACGTTACTCTTATCCCCAGAAAAATTTCCTCATGCTTCTTCTCACTTATTCTTCATCCTTATCCATCCAGAGGCAATTTTTTTCACCATGTATTAGTTTATCTCTGTTCCAGAAATGCATATAAATGGAATCATAGTATTTTTCTTTTGCGTGTTTTCCTTTACTTAACATAGTATTTTTGAGATTCATTTATGTTGTATATATCAGTAGTTTGTTCCTTTTTTCTGTAGTTGAGTAGTATTCTATTGTATAAATGTAACAGTTTGTTCTTTTCATTAACCTATTGATAGACACCTAAGTGATTTCTAGTTGGTTATTATGAATAAACCTACTGTGAACATTTTTTACAAAATGCTGTGCAGGCATGTATGACACAGCTAAGTAAGAACAGATCTTATTTGAGAACTATTTATGAGATATCAATTGCCTCACTTGCGCTCCCTGATCTCCTGAATCTTCAATGAAATTTTTAATATCTCTCCTTAGTAATTTTGAAGAGATATTTTTATTTAGCATTTAAAAAAGAAAGCAAAAAAGATTAAGATCCAATCAAAATGAATGATTATATTTAATTTATAGAGCTAAAAAACATAGGGCTAAAATACTGAAACACAATTATTGATAAACCTGGATGGGATTGATTCTTAGGTCCTGATATTGTTCAGGAGGTAAAGATATTGACCAACTAAAGACTTTGTTTAGTTACATGGGCATATTAAAATTTCCAGGGTAGTCAGTAAATGAATAGAAAAAGGGGTTGCATCTTCCCAAATAGTAGAGAGAAAAATATGCAATTATAATAAATTATCTTGGATTTGATGTTGCAAATAGCCTTAAAAAAATAGTAATTTTAGGTCTTAGCTGTCTTCTAAGATTTATCCTGGTAAAAAATGTTGAAGCCATCTTCTGTGTGTTCCAGAGACTGGCCAGAATAGTCTGTATTTCCTTAATTAGTTTTGATACAGAAAGGTTTGTTAATGCTAAACTTAAAGCTTTCTTTCTTAAATTTTTTTTTTTTTTTGCTAGAAAATGTCTTTATTTTGCCATGGATTATAGATTGACATTTATGTTAAGTCAGTATTTGAAAGATATTTTATTGAATTCTTTTGTTGCTATTGAGAAGTTTGTTATTAATCTAATTATTCTTCTGCATATAATCTATTATTTCTATTTGTTCTTAAGATCTTCTCTTTATTTTAATGGTCTCCGGTCTTAATGAGTCAAGGTATGAATTTATTTTTGTTTCTTGGGACTCATTTTGGTTCCTGAATCTTAGGAAAATTTTCAGCTGTAATCTTTTTGAGCATTGCCTCACTTTTATTTCCTCTGTTATCTTCTTCTGGATTAGGTAGCATGTGGGATCATATCATTCTTTTATGACTTTTAACTCTCTTTTATATTTTCCATCTATTAGCCTCTCTTTATTGCATTCTGTATAATTCATTTGTTGTTTTCTAATTGTCTCTTCAGATGTTTTTACCTGCTATCTAAGCTTGCATAGTTTTTAATTTCTATGATTACATTTTTCATTTCTAGAAGTTTCTTCAAAGGATCTGCTATGGTCTGAATGTTTCTGTGCCCCCCAAATACATATGTTGAAACCTAATGTCCAGTATGATGGTATTAGGAAATAGGGCTTTTGGAGGTAATTAAATCATGAGGGATTAGTGCCTTTATGAAAGAGGCCCAGTTGAGCTCTTTAACCCTTTCTGCCATTGGACATTATCTTCTGGGAAGCAGTTCTCACCAGACACAGAGCCTGACCACATAAACATCCTAATCTCAGACTTTCAGAACTGTGAGAAATAAATTTCTGCTGCTTATAAGTTACCCAGCCTTAACTTAGAAGCCCAACAGACTAAGACAAGATCCAAAACTTAATGCAATGCCAGTAAAAACCCCGTGGGATGTTTTTTAAAATTTGGCAGAATGATTCTAAAGTTATATCTATAAGAAAAATGTATGAATATATACATATATCAAATCATGTTGTACACCTTAAACTAATGTTACATGTCAATTATATCTTAGTAAAGCTGGAAAAAGAAAAAAATATGTGAGCATATAGACAAGAAAATTTTCAAAAGTTAGTGAATTGTTGCTTGCTCTATCACATATTAAAAGATGCTCTAATGCTTTAATAATTAAAAATCTGATATTGTTGCAGGAATAAATACATCAGTAAAAAATATTCCAGTGGAGGAAAGAAAAGAAGTCAATAAATGGCATTTGGGCAATTCATATATCATACACCAAAATAAAATTTAGGAGAAAAAACTAAATGCAAAGAAAAAGATATACAAATACTAGTAAGTATTAGAGATAATTTTAAAGTTTTGGGAATAGAGGCTATCTTTCCTAAAGGAAAAGATGGCTAGATATGATGATATACAAATTATTAGTTTCTATGGAATTAAAACCACCAAAAATAAAGTTAAAAAATGTTAGAGACAACTTAATAGAAAAATGAAAAGAAAGAATAATCATAAAATATGTAAAAATATTGCTTAACTCTACTACTACTAAAATAAATGCAAAGTACTGGAAATAATTAAAAACGATGAATAACTCCCAGTGTTGGCAGTATTTTTCAGAAATGAATACTATTCTTTCTTTGTTGATATAAATTATTAGTACAGAAGATAAATAAAAATTGAGTTTTGTCTGTCCAAATTGAAACTGTAGAATTTCCTGATCATTAAATACGAACAGTTTACATTTTTGTCTAGGATAACTTCTAGCCATGAAATTCAGAATAGAGTACTTAACGATAAAAGGCTACATGGGGAGAAAGACTGGAATGAGAGAACATCATGGTAATTCCAGCCCCAGCCAAAGCACCAAATGAATGCATCTGCATGAATAACCTGATCTATAGTATGTGAAGCAGAACAGATGCCCAGCTGAGCCCAAAGTACAGAATTGTGAGTCCTAATAAATTATTTTAAATTAGTAAGTTTTGGAATGGTCTGCTATGCAGAATTAGGTGACTGAATCAGATATGTGGAATGTTATGTAGCTCTTGAAAAGAATAAGGTAGGCACATATATACTAACATGGGAGAGATGTACATGGTGCATGGTAGTGTGGGACCATAAAAATGACTCTGCAAGTTGAAAACATGCAAAGCAATCTTAATAATGAATGGTAGAAGTTACGATTGTTCTTTGACTTAAAAATATTTGAGAAAACATCACATTTTCCCTTATGTTATAAATGTAAAGGAGAATGAAAAAATATTAATTTAGTACACTGTAATTTAAAACATTAGGTGCATTGAGATTAAAGTGTGTTATTTCCTTATAAAAATTAATCAAAATAGTTTGACAGTGCTTGCTTTATTTTTGGTGCGTAACTTGCAATATGGAGTAACA